GAAGGTACGGTGGGATTCGAAATGGTCGGTGATCTGTTTGTTAACTTTGCTTTCAAATACTTTCGAAAGGCAGGGCAGGATGGATATAGGTCTGTAACAGTTTGGATCTAGAGTGTCACCCCCTTTGAAGAGGGGGATGACCGTGGCAGCTTTCCAATCTCTGGGGATCTCAGACGATACGAAAGAGAGGTTGAACAGGCTAGTAATAGGGGTTGCGACAATTTTGGCGGCTAATTTTAGAAAGAAAGGGTCCAGATTGTCTAGCCCAGCTGATTTGTAGGGGTCCAGATTTTGCAGCTTTTTCAGGATATCAGCTATCTGAATTTGGGTGAAGGAGAAGCGGGGGGGGGGGGGGGGGGGGGGGGCATGGGCAAGTTGCAGCGGAGGGTGCAGAGCTGGTGGCCGGGGTAGGGGTAGCCAGGTGGAAAGCATGGCCAGCCATAGCAAAATGCCTATTGAAATTCTCGATTATCGTAGATTTATCGGTGGTGACAGTGTTTCCTAGCCTCAGTGCAGTGGGTAGCTGGGAGGAGGTGCTCTTATTCTCCATGGACTTTACAGTGTCCCAAAACTTTTTGGAGTTAGTGCTACAGGATGCAAATTTCTATTTGAAAAAGCTAGCCTTTACTTTCCTAACTGATTGGGTATATTGGTTCCTGACTCCCCTGAAAAGTTGCATATCGCGGGGGCTGTTCGATGCTAATGCAGTACGCCACAGGATGTTTTTGTGCTGATCAAGGGCAGTTAAGTCTGGGGTGAACCAGGGGCTATATCTGTTCTTAGTTCTGAATTTTTTGAATGGGGCATGCTTATTTAAGATGGAGAGGAAAGTACTTGTGGTCCTCTGTAGCTCAGCTGGTAGAGCACGGCACTTGTAACGCCAAGGTAGTGGGTTCGATCCCCGGGACCACCCATACACAAAAAAATGTATGCACGCATGACTGTAAGTCGCTTTGGATAAAAGCGTCTGCTAAATGGCATATTATTATTACTTTTGAAGAACATCCAGGCATCCTCTACTGATGGAATGAGGTCAATATCCATCCAGGATACCCGGGCCAGGTCAATTAGAAAGGCCTGCTCGCTGAAGTGTTTTAGGGAGCGTTTGACAGTGATGAGGGGTGGTCGTTTGACCGCGGACCCATTATGGATGCAGGCAATGAGGCAGTGATCGCTGAGATCCTGGTTGAAGAAAGCAGAGGTGTATTTAGAGGATAAATTAGTCAGGATGATATTACATTTACATTTTAGTCATTTAGCAGACGCTCTTATCCAGAGCGACTTACAGTTAGTGAGTGCATACATTTTCATACTGGCCCCCTGTGGGAAACGAACCCACAACCCTGGCGTTGCAAGCGCCATCCTCTACCAACTGAGCTACAGGGGACTATCTATGAGGGTGCCCATGTTTACGGATTTAGGGTTGTACCTGGTAGGTTCCTTGATAATTTGTGTGAGATTGAGGGCATCTAGTTTAGATTGTAGGACGGCTGGGGTGTTAAGCATATCCCAGTTTAGGTCACCAAGCAGTACGAACTCTGAGGATAGATGGGGGGCAAGCAATTCACATATGGTGTCCAGGGCACAACTGGGTCATGGGTCTGTAGCAAGCGGCAACAGTGACAGACTTATTTCTGGAAAGGTGGATTTTTAGAAGTAGAAGCTCAAACTGTTTGGGCACAGACCTGGATAGTATGATAGAGCTCTGCAGGCTATCTCTACAGTAGATTGCAACTCCGCCCCCTTTGGCAGTTCTATCTAGACAGAAGATGTTGTAGTTAGGGATGGACATTTCTGAATTTTTGGTGGCCTTCCTAAGCCAGGATTCAGACACTGCTAGAACATCAGGTTTGGCAGAGTGTGCTAATGCAGTGAATAACTCAAACTCTGGGAGGAGGCTTCTGATGTTAACATGCAAGAAACCAAGGCTTTTACGGTTACAGAAGTCAACAAATGATAGCACCTGGGGAGTAGGAGTGATACTGGAGGCTACAGGGCCTGGGTTAACCTCTACATCACCAGAGGAACAGAGGAGGAATAGAATAAGGATACGGCTAAAGGCTTTAAGAACTGGTCTTCTAGTGCATTGGGTACAGAGAATAAAAGGGGCAGATTTCCGGGCGTTGTAGAATAGATTCAGGGCATTATGTACAGACAAGGATATGGAAGGATATGAGTACAGTGGAGGTACACCTAAGCATTGGGTAACGATGAAAGAGATAGCATCACTGGAGGTACCGATTGAGCCGGTCTCCGCGTGTATGGGGGGTGGGACAAAGGAGCTATCTGAGGCAGGTTGAGCGGGACTAGGGGCTCTACAGTGAAATAGTACAATAAGAACTAACCCAAACAGCAATAGGCTAGGCATATTGACATGGGAGAGAGGCATAACGCAATCACAGGAGTTATTCGAGAGGGCTAAGACAACAACTGGTAATGGCGACGAAAGTTTGGGCTGAGGCTAAACAGATAAACAGGATGGGGTACCGTGTAAAAGAACAGTCCAGCAGGCATCAGCTGTGTAGCTGAGTGATTATAAGGTCCAGTGAACAGCAATAGGTACGTCCGGGAGCAGTTTGTAGGCTACTACAGCACAGGCGAGCAGGAGGCACGGCTGTTGATTGCGCGTGCTAGCGGGCCGGGGCTAGCAGATGGATCTTCTTGGTTGTCGCAACGGGAAGCCGGTTGAAACCACATCAGACAATTACGTCGGCAGACCAGTCGTGATGGATCGGCGGGGCTCCGTGTCGACACTAGGACGTTCCGTCCGGTTGACAGAGATAGATAGCCGGGAGATGGGCCTGGCTCGAGGCTAGCTCAAGGCTAACTGGTTCGTTGGGACAGTGGTGATTAGCCAACAACAGCCATTCGGTTGCAGCTAGCTAGTTGCGATGATCCCGTGTTAAGGTCCAGTGATTCAGTGATTCCGGCAGAAAATCCGATATGCTCTTGGTCAATATCATGCTGTGCAGACTGGCCGATAATTGTCCAGGCTAGAGCTGGCTGGTAGGTAGTGCAGGCCACGGACAGTGGTGAAGACCGCTAACGGTGGCTAATAGCAAGTAGCTAGTTAGCTGGCTAGCTGGCTAGTTTCAGCCGTAGGTTCTTGATAAAAATAAAGAAATAATAGAATCCGTTCCACATTGGGTGAGGCGGGTTGCAGGAAGGTATATTTAGTTAAAGGATGGAAAGTGAGATAGAGAAATATATACGAAAAAAAGACAGGCTATTTACACGAGGACACAACAGAATACATGACCGCGCTGCTACGCCATCTTGGTTTAAAATAAAGGAAACACCAACATAAATTGTCTTAATAGGGCATTGAGCCACCACAAGCTGCCAGAACAGCTTCAATGCGACTTGGCATAGATTCTACAAGTGTCTGGAACTCTATCGGAGGGATGCGAAACCATTCTTCGATGAGAAATTCTTTAATTTGGTGTTTTGTTGATGGTGGTGGAAAACGCTGTCTCAGGTGCCGCTCCAGAATCTCTCATAAGTGTTCAATTGGGTTGAGATCTGGTGACTGAGACAGACACACACACCCTTTAAATCCCCTATGCTTCTTTGAGACCGCTCTTTCAATAAGTTACTGAGATCTCTTCTTCTAGTCATGCATGGTAGCCAAAATAATGGGTAACTGGGCATTTTTATACATGACTCTAAGCATGATGGGATATTAACTGCTTATTAATTAGAAACCACACCTGTGTGGAAGTACCTGATTTCCATACACTTTGTATACCTCATTTACTGAAGTGTTTCCTTTAGTTTGGCAGTCACCTGTACATAGTGCATTACCTCACATTTGGCAATTCACCCTACAGTGGAAATGTAATGTCACTCTTTATACACCATTTATAGAGTATGACACAAGCTTATAGATGATTTGTGATGCATTTATGTAGTGCTAATGGAGGCTTTATGTATGCTATATAAAGCCTTTCTTTATAAGTTGTACTTTGTTTAAAGTGGGACCAACATTTCACTTAATAGTGCATAATACTAAACAGTCATACAATAAACGCATATATGGCATTCATATTTAGAAGCATATAGATTCATCTATCTGTGAGTGCAGCTGCCTAGGTGGTCTCTCACCTTCCTCGTGAAAGAAGATCCTCTCTCCTCCATAGAAATGTACTTGGAGATGTCTTGTTTCTTCGTACTAGGACAGCGCTTCCCAAACTTTTTCACTCATGCCCCCGTTTCACCCCACCATGCCTCCCCAATTGAATGAACTGCTACACAATAAAATAAAATAAAATAAAGCCTTTTACTTAATAAGAAACAGTACATACAAATGCCAGTACCTAATTAGGACTGGTCCGACTAGGACATCTTTGCTCTGAGGAGCCAGATGATCCTATGGTGATATGGAAATAGACTGAATAAATTACATCAGTATTTTCTGTGTATATTGAATTTTATCCCCCAATCATTCATGTTAATTTTAAGAACCAAATGAAATAGATGTATTTTCCCTGCCTGTTTTCATCTTGAGTACAGTGAACCCTTGTGGTGAGTTCTCGCAGTAGCAGGGCACAGTGCTAGGATAAATGCTTTTCACACCGCCCTGTATGTCTCACCTGAGTTTCCGTACTGCACTCAGGAAGTAAAATTATACAAGGGCATGCAAGGTAGGTTAGTATCACATAACGATGTTATAACCTAGTTAATTTGTAATACAACGTGCATTTAATGTTTTATGATATGTGTACTAAAAGGTATTGAGTTGTCAGTGCGTACTGGCCTTCTCTGCTGAAATGAATAGCTGTCTGCGAATTTAGATTGAATGCATTGCGGACTCCATTGAAAGTGAATCTTACCAAAGCCTCCGTCTTTCCTAGATGGCCCCCAAACCATTAGCACCGTTAGCAAAGAGACTGTTCAAAGGAGTAGTACTACTTGAAGTGGCAGGTGTGCTGGGTGCTTATGGTCTTTTTTACAAGATGAACACAAGTCAAGGTATTATTTACATTTTATATAGAAATGACGTCATGTACACTGACTCTACCTTGGGCTATGTACACCTTTTTAACAAAATGTTCCGTTTTTTGTTTTAGATTTCAGGAACAGTATGAACAACATGCTTCCCTCTGTACTGGAAGGTAAGGGCTGTAGACAGTTCAAAATATACAAACTGGAGAAATTGATCCTCAAGTCCAAACTGCACAGCAATGAAATCAGCCCCAATTGATAAAAAAAGGTTTACCCCTACAGTTACAACAATTACTGCAAACCAGACATTATCTCCTTGTATGCTGTTTTCATTTTGTATTTCTTGTATAAACCTATATAAAATACAGAAGAGTCAAAATAGCTATACAGAGAACACATGTAAATGTAAACACATTTCACACAGGCATTTAGTAGCTTCTCCAATGATTGGTAGTACAAACCTGGAACTGGCAACGGGTTAGATTGAGGCAATACACCGGTGTGTTCATTAGTAGACATAGTTGCAAAACATTTTGCTGCAGTGGGCATGTAGCCCACTGAACCATAATGTGATTAAATGTGTTGAATCCTGAGCGTGACACCATCACTTTCTCTTTCCAGTTTATTACAAGTCCAACGAATATGCAGGGGTTTATGGGATTCGAGAGAAAGACCTTGAAGATTGGTCCAAGAAGGCATAGAGGCGTGTGAACACAAACATAAGTAATCTTAGGTCCAGAGAAGTCCAGAAATTATTACTTCTTCTTTAAAGTACTTTTGCCAGCCCTTGGTTTGCCAAACTGGGGCTTTCCAAACTGTTTCTTCTTATTAAACATGGCCTTCTTCTTCCGTAGGGTCTTGACGTCTCTGCCTCGGACCCAGTCGTCCCTCTGGGCTTCCCACTTGAGCTGCCTGACACCTGGAGGAAGAGAAGACAGAAGAGCAATGAGCAAAAACCACAGACAGACTGCACCCTCTACTGAAGTTAGTTCATCATCTGTATTCAACAACCTGCTTCATTCGAAATGTGCCCAGTTGTTATCTTAGGGTTACCTTTAGATCTGTGGTTCTCAATCCTGGTCCTAGGGACCCAAAGGGGTGCACATTTTTGTTTTTGCCCTAGCACTACACACCTGATTCAAATAATCAAAGCCTGCTGAGTTGACAATTTGAATCAGGTGTGTAGCTCTAGGGCAAAAACAAAAATGTGCACCCCTTTTGGTCCCCAGGACCAGGATTGAGAACCACTGCTTTAGATCGATAATGCTTGAGAGAATATAGTCTATTCTGTGCGACTTTAAAAGGCCTGCTAGAGTATGACTGGGTGTGCTATAGGGGGTTAAAGGTTAATCGGTTAGCCACCGAAAATACATTTGACCGGTCATGCTCATCAATCTATAGGTTAATCTGCATTATTTGGTGAAATTAAATTGCCACGTGTGTATTTATTAGTCGTCATGTATCTTATTTATCACACCCACACAGAGCCTAGTTTGAGGAGAGGAATGGCCTATCACCTGTCAGAGCCTAGATTTAGGAGCGGAATGGCCCATCACCTGTCAGAGCCTAGTTTTAGGAGCGGAATGGCCTATCACCTGTCAGAGCCTAGATTTAGGAGCGGAATGGCCCATCACCTGTCAGAGCCTAGTTTTAGGAGCGGAATGGCCTATCACCTGTCAGAGCCTAGTTTTAGGAGCGGAATGGCCCATCACCTGTCAGAGCCTAGTTTTAGGAGCGGAATGGCCTATCACCTGTCAGAACCTAGATTTAGGAGCGGAATGGCCCATCACCTGTCAGACAGTGCAGAGCAGGTCCTCAAAAAGCTGGTACTGGAGTGAAACGTGCTTTTATATGCCCAGTCATAGTGCAAGAAATAATTCTAAATGCAATCGTGTGTTAACTGTTTTGATGGCCACGATTTAAAAAAAGAGCTGCTATGTTTATTTCTCAATCAACTCGTAATTAAAGCACGTCTCCCATTCACCCTTCGAGTGCATAGGCTATCAGCATGTCACTCATCACTTTACATTGTGAGCTTGAGGTAGTAATTGTTTGAAACCTGATCGTTTTACTTTACTTCAAATAATGAGGAATGTCTTACCTTAAAAGTAGCCTAGCCAAAATCTAATAGAAATGTGGAGGCAATTATTGTATAAATTACCCAGCATTTCTCTGTTCTATTGGTTTTCATATCAACTTTCTTTCGTTGTCAAGAAGCCAAAGGCACAATCCCAGTCATATTAGCAACCCATCCTAGTTGTTGCTATTAGATTCTCCCTTTAAGTTTCTAATGGAGAGTTTAGTATGGAACCGCTTGCATTAGGTGTGCTGTTTAGAGCAGTATTTTCCAGCAAATTGCATTTTGACAAATGTCTGAAAATAATTGTATTAGCTGCTTCATTAAAATAGTTGCACGGTCAATAATAGGCTATAGCCTTTTGACTGTAAGACAATAGGCTTGCTATTGTTGCATGTTTTCATTAAGCGCTTCATAAAAAAGTATGTTCCTTGTATGCATGCATAGTATTTTCTATTTGTCACGTCATATTACAGTTTAGAATTGTTTTGTACAGTTTGTTGACCAGTTAATGAGGGTAGGTTAAATCTGCAACAAAATGGACCGAAATGTGCATCCCTATTGTGCTCCAAACTGCTGTGAAGATACTGACTCTCTCCAAGGGGAATATGCTGTGGGTTTCCTCTACTGTCTAGCCAACTGAGTAAAGTCATTTATATGAATTGGCCCGTGTCTGTTTTTTTTTCCTGTTAGGTGGCACTAAGTGTGGTACACAATAGGAAAACAGGACATGGATATACTCAATAGGTTGATTGACTATATTGAAGCCAAGGCTTACCTGCTTTGTCTTTGTTGGCCATAGCATTCATGCCGGTGTTGTCAAACTTAGAGCCAGCATTTTCATCCAACATATACCCAAACTGTAAAAAACGAAAGCATTTAGCATTAACAGTGATAATATCCTTTAGTTTCATCCAATAAACTAACTCTTCAACAAACGGATTGATAGGATAGCCATCAGCACACCAACTTAACATTGTGAGAAATATGATAGGCGTGACCATCTCACCTCTTCAGCAGATGCAAACATGGCTGTGTCCTTTCCTGTCTTTCTTTTCCCCGGTTTGGAACCTACAATGAAAGAATTTCAACATGTCAGATAAGATTCTACACTCCTGAATGAGATTCTGAGCAGTTTAATAGTACAAACAGAGGCCCAGCTACTAACCTAAAGAACCACTGAAGTCAAGATCCTCTGATGCCTTCCTCTTGCCCTTGCTCTTTTTAGAACCTAGAGTCATGTGTGGAACCTCCATCTTATCATCTGAATCTTGAAGGGAAAACAATATATTTGATAAGAGTCAACCTTTTTATACATTAATAACATTCACAATTAATGATGCCCTTTTTAAATGAATTTTAAAGTTAATTTAAGGCTATCTGCTTACCAGAAATGTCATCATCAAGTTCTGGAACTGAAAGACAAGAAATTAGAGTCAAGTGTGAACCTGTGGAGGCGTGGGGTAGTGGGAGTTTCCACCATATTATTAAACCAGTCATTTAATTTCAAAATAGTGAAGGGAAGTGAACAAGTGCACACTTTGGGAGGAAGGAGAGATACATTGGGACATAATACCTTCCTCGTCGTCATCATCCTCCCCAACGGTGTCCATGAAAGCCCCTCCCTCCTCCTCTAGTTCATCTCCAAAGTCCTCCTCATCCATACTGCCTAGGGACACCTCCTCATCATCCAGGTCATCATCCAGGTCTGAATCAGAGTCATCCTCTCCACCCTTCTTCCCCTTCTTAGATTGTATCTTTATATTGCTGCACACACACACAAACTGTTAGATATATCATTGAAAATAATTTCAATGTAATGTTTGATACATTTTAGTCCTTTAGCAGAGGCACTTATCCAGAGCGACTTACAGTAGTGAGTGCATACATACATAAAAAAAAAAAAAAATGTGTAATGTCCCCGTTGGGAATCAAACCCACAACCCTGGCGTTGCAAGCGCCATGCTCTACCTACTGAGCCACACGGTACCACATAGGTGTACAAATGAATCACTTGGTGATATCTGAATGCAAAGCAATATTAAAACTGTACTTACCCTGCAAAGTCCAGGTCTGTTTCATCAACTGGCAAGTCTGTGAAATAACTGTCTCCCTCATATGTATCTGGATAGGAAGAAAACCAAAGATGAGTCTGAAGTCTGATATTGATCCATTTCCTGCATTTCGACCAATAACATTTCAGAGTCCTTGAGCGGAGGGTGAGAAAGCAACCAGGAGCAGAGTCTGAGCCTCTAGTCTGACATAGTGGCCCATTTCCTGCATTTTAACCAATAACAATACATTTTCTATTGGTGACTGTGGGCAGAGTCCTTCAGCTTACCGAGCAGCTTCTCAAACTCATCATCGTCCACATCCTCCACACTCTCGTTATCGCCATCTCCTCGTGGCCGACGCAGCGCCTTCTCCGCCTCTCGTTTCTTGAAGAACCTAGCGTGGGAAACCCACAGGGCAAAATAGGGTTTTTGATGACGGTCCAGAACTTTGATCACTCAAACAATAAACCAAAAACAGATTCAAGGGGCATCATTTTCTTTGCTGCCTTATTCGCAAAAAAATTAAACATCTGACAATGTGTTACTCAGGAGGAGGACTGTCTATAAAACCATTATTACTCACCGATAGAAGAAGACCTCATCCACAGGAATCTGACTCTCCTCATTGGACAGGAACTCCTCACAGTTCACTGAGAGAAAAAAATTAAAACTTTCCTTACTTCTGCTCAATAAAGGGACCCCCTTATCATTCTTCATAATGACTCAAAGACACACTCACCAGGTAAATTGTGGATGTTGTTCATAGCCAGCTTCTGTTTGGGCTGCATCACTGTAGCATTTGTATTCTCTGAAGGATTGAGATTAAAACAGTTTCAACAAAGATGAAAGACAGACAGTGTGGATAATTGATTAGGGAACTGAGACCAGTTGACTAAAGGGCGGTTTATATTTGGTCTAACAACATGTCTGTAGAGAATTAGAATGCGACAATGGTCGCTGGTCAAAACGACATTTAATTTATACTCCGGTGGAATGTCTGTTTCCTTGCTGCACATACATTATAAAAAAAGTTAATCTCTGCGACTGTTGCAACGTTCGTTGTCTTGGTTACTGGGCTGCTACAGCAACAAGAAGGCGCAGGAGTTCTAAACATTCTCTGATAGAATGACCTACTTTTATTTCGTCACATTCACAACCGTAAGCTGTTTTCTGTAAGCTCGCCATCATTACCTTGTAAATAATTATGTTGTGGTGGGTTGCTAAAGTAGCTAAAGTTCAGCTATACTCTGGTCATTATTTGAACTGGCTAGCTAGCTAGCTAACAAATTAGCAATGAATCAAAACATTGTTTGCTAGTAGCTAGGTTGACATTTACTAAATTCATTTTTTTTGTTTATTGGTGTTCAAATAGAGCAAGTATGCTATTTGGCGTACCGGGCTGCTGATGTCATGCAGAGGCTATCATTTTGTGTTTATACTTCTTCATAACAAGTTTGATGTCAGTCGACAATAGATTGTTCATGATGTCACTGCGACAACTGTCTACAGACATGTTGCTAGACCAACTGTCAACCAGCCTTAAGAATGTGACGTCTGAGAAAGTGTATGGCTAAGTTCCAAATGGCACCCTATTCCCTATATAGTACTTGGCTTTTGACCAGGAACCCCCTATGGGCCATGGTCAAAAGTAGTGCGCTTTATAGGGAATAGGGTGCTTTTTGGAACCTAGTGCACTATATAGGGAATAGGGTGCCTTTTGGAACGCACATTATGTACTGATAAAAAGGTATATGATAATGTTGGATGTATTACGTTTGCCCTTCAGTTGTTTGGGATTCCTGAAGACGAAGCGATCCAAGAACTTGCTGAGAGTGAAGTCCTGGAGAGGGTCTCCTGTGTAGTTGATGAACTCTCCCTGAGGACATGATGCAGGGAGAAAGGGATGAATGAACAAGGAAAGACTTGAGCGGTAGTATGAGGGATAGCCCTGATACCCACCCGGGCCCATTGTTATACAGGCAACTTCTTTGTATAAATGTTTTGGTAATAAGCACAACGTTTTTCAATGCAAAAAAATAAGTTAATCTTACCTGTAAGATTGTCTTGGCAAACAGTGACACTGAGGGGTGGAAATGTGCAGAGAGCTGAGGGGGAAAGATGTGTGGAAGAAGAACAGAAACGACAAGTGGTTTATCCTATCACTACCGTTTCTCAAGCAAGCCCATAACACATTTATCTCATCCCAAATGGCACCCTATTCCCTACATAGTGCACTACTTTTGACCAGAGCCTTATGGGCCCTGGTTAAAAGTAGTGCACTATATAGGGAAAAGAGGGCCATTTGGGGGATGCATCTAATATTGTTGTGAGGCACACCCGTTGCAGCTCCCATAAGGTGGTGTGGTCAGCCCCACAGAAAAGGGGGTTTCTGTGTAGCGGGTCGTATATACTCTCCATACTCTTCCCACCTGGACAACAGAAGAATGAGTATGCATGAAGAGGGGGAAAGGTGACTACTGAATAGGCAGGAGTAACAACCAAAACATGATTATATACTTACATTACGCACAGCTCTGCAAAGAGCTGTTAATGATGATGGCATATTCAATGAATTGATTAAAACTAACCAAGCGCTCCAGGACAAGTTGTCTATAGAATTAAAGGAGCTTAAAATCAAGAAATTCAACCAAGACAAAAAAGACAAGGCCGAGGACAAAGTCTACTTCTGGAGAAACCCTGACAAAAGAAGTCCTGCTCCTCCTCTCCATGACAGACGCAGGAGGGGGGCCGCTAACTTCTATCCACTCCCGTCTGACCAACGCTCTACAACCAGCGCCTCATCCGCTTCCAGTGCCAGTTTTTATCCAACGAGAGACTGGGCCGAGGGAAGCGCGGAGGTGGCCGAGGTCACGTGTACCGACGAGATGCCGTACACGACGGGGTAAGAAGAAACGACAACCAGAGGCAGAGGGGGCCGTTCACACGGTCCCAGAACCCACGGGACTGAGTGTCTTTAATTTATCAAGCAAGATATTGAGTCCTGTCCATGTCTCCTTGCTTAATAAAGGGTTATATTTTGTGCCTACAACTCAGTGCAACAATTCCGATGTTAATGTAGACATGTTTAAGTTTAGAAACATCAGTTTAAGGGAATACTTCAGCTCCCCTAATCGTGATATTTTAACTGAACATGTAGGTGGCTCACCTGCACATACTCCGACTTCTTTCAGAAGTAAGAGTTATTTTGTACCTCCAGCCAATCGCAATCACTCTATTGAGACATATTGCAGACTCGTTGAAAAATATGTTGGTAATCTCCTTAAGAACAAACAGGAGTACATATCTTTTCAAAATTTACCCAAGGATGAAAAACAAGCTTTGCTTTGCTGCTGATAAGGGTGGGTCAGTTGTACTCATGGATAGGACAGTTTATGTAAATGAGTGTCACAGACAACTGCTTGACAACACCTTTTACAAGAAACTCAGAAGAACACTATCTTTTCTGTCCTAGATGGGTATTTAAGTTCTGGTCAAATCACCAAAAAATAACACGATTTTTTGGCTATTCAACACCCTAAAATTGCTACTTTCTATACTTTGCCGAAATTACACAAGAATGTTACCAAACCTCCAGGGCGCCCTATTGTAGCAGGCATTGATGCAGTAACAGCCCCTTTATCGACCTATGTTGACTTTTTTTATTAGACCTCTCGCAGAACAGCTCCCCTCCTTTGTAAAGGACACCAGCAGTATGATCTCTATTATTGAATCTCTTGATCCTCTCCCTGATAATACCTTGTTAGTTACTTTTGATGTTGAGTCGTTATACACGAATATTCCACACGAGGGCGATATTGAAGCCATGGAACATTTTCTTCTGCAACGTGACCCTAATGAACTACCTTCCAGTGCATGCATTATAACATTGGCTGAAATAGTACTCACACACAACTACTTCATGTTTCTAAATTATTTCTTTATTCAGACAAAGGGTACTGCTATGGGATCGCCTATGGCTCCTAACTATGCTAATTTGTATGTGGGTTACATTGAGAAACAGTCCATTTTCAATCCTCTCAAAAATGTTTTCTTGCCTAACATTATTATTTGGAAACCGTACATTGATGATATTTTTGTTCTATGGAGGGGTGATTCGAAACAGCTCCAGGCATTCCATGCTTTTCTTAACTCTTGTTCTGAGCACCTGAGATTTACTATGCAATCTGACACACGTCAAATCAGTTTCCTTGATCTTCTGATTTTGTGTGAAGATAATGTTCTATACACTGATCTTTACAGGAAACCTACTGATCGTAACAGTTTGTTGAGGGCTGATAGTTGTCACCCGCTTTCTTTGAAAAACAGTTTGCCCTACAGCCAATTCTGTCGAATCAAAATAATTTGTAAAAAACAATCAGATTTCGACCGTAATATGACTGAGACGCAAAGAAAATTCAAGGAGAGGGGGTACAAAAATTGTCAGATTAATACTGCCATTGAGAAAATTCAAAACAGATCGAGACCTGATCTCTTTCAAGGACAGTCTCGCAAAAAGAAGCATTCTTGCGTTCTAACTACACGCTATTCAAAGTGCTCTGAACAAATTAAGGGAATCGTTCACAAACATGGCACATTCTAAAATCCAATGACAGTATTGGTCATGTGTTTTCAGACCCTCCCTTGGTTGTATTCTCGCGGGGCAGAAATCTCAGAGATCAATTGGTAAACTCTGATTTACCACCCCTAAATACCCCTGCACAACGTCTACAGTGGGGGAAAAAAGTATTTAGTCAGCCACCAATTGTGCAAGTTCTCCCACTTAAAAAGATGAGAGAGGCCTGTAATTTTCATCATAGGTACACGTCAACTATGACAGACAAAATGAGAAAAAAAAATCCATAAAAATCACATTGTAGGATTTTTAATACATTTATTTGCAAATTATGGTGGAAAATAAGTATTTGGTCAATAACAAAAGTTTCTCAATACTTTGTTATATACCCTTTGTTGGCAATGACACAGGTCAAACGTTTTCTGTAAGTCTTCACAAGGTTTTCACACACTGTTGCTGATATTTTGGCCCATTCCTCCATGCAGATCTCCTCTAGAGCAGTGATGTTTTGGGGCTGTCGCTGGGCAACACGGACTTTCAACTCCCTCCAAAGATTTTCTATGGGGTTGAGATCTGGAGACTGGCTAGGCCACTCCAGGACCTTGAAATGCTTATTACGAAGCCACTCCTTCGTTGCCCGGGCGGTGTGTTTGGGATCATTGTCATGCTGAAAGACCCAGCCACGTTTCATCTTCAATGCCCTTGCTGATGGAAGGAGGTTTTCACTCAAAATCTCACGATACATGGCCCCATTCATTCTTTCCTTTACACGGATCAGTCGTCCTGGTCCCTTTGCAGAAAAACAGCCCCAAAGCATGATGTTTCCACTCCCATGCTTCACAGTAGGTATGGTGTTCTTTGGATGCAACTCAGCACTCTTTGTCCTCCAAACACGACGAGTTGAGTTTTTACCAAAAAGTTCTATTTTGGTTTCATCTGACCATTTGACATTCTCCCAATCCTCTTCTGGATCATCCAAATGCACTCTAGCAAACTTCAGACGGGCCTGGACATGTACTGGCTTAATCAGGGGGACACGTCTGTCACTGCAGGATTTGAGTCCCTGGCGGCGTAGTGTGTTACTGATGGTAGGCTTTGTTACTTTGGTCCCAGCTCTCTGCAGGCCATTCACTAGGTCCCCCCGTGTGGTTCTGGGATTTTTGCTCACCGTTCTTGTGATCATTTTGACCCCACGGGGTGAGATCTTGCATGGAGCCCGAGATCGAGGGAGATTATCAGTGGTCTTGTATGTCTTCCATTTCCTAATAATTGCTCCCACAGTTGATTTCTTCAAACCAAGCTGCTTACCTATTGCAGATTCAGTCTTCCCAGCATGGTGCAGGTCTACAATTTTGTTTCTGGTGTCCTTTGACAGCTCTTTGGTCTTGGCCATAGTGGAGTTTGGAGTGTGACTGTTTGAGGTTGTGGACAGGTGTCTTTTATACTGATAACAAGTTCAAACAGGTGCCATTAATACAGGTAACGAGTGGAGGACAGAGGAGCCTCTTAAAGAAGAAGTTACAGGTCTGTGAGAGCCAGAAATCTTGCTTGTTTGTAGGTGACCAAATACTTATTTTCCACCATAATTTGCAAATAAATTCATAAAAAATCCTACAATGTGATTTTCTGGAATTTTTTTCTCAATTTGTCTGTCATAGTTGACGTGTACCTATGATGAAAATTACAGGCCTCTCTCATCTTTTTAAGTGGGAGAACTTGCACAATTGGTGGCTGACTAAATACTTTTTTCCCCACTGTATTTGCGCCTCTACCGGATGGAAACTACAAGTGTAACGGCTACGCTCAATGCAATGGCAAATGTAGATCCTTCAAACACCCCCAAACAGGGAAACAGATCCCAATCAAAGGTGTTATTACGTGCTCCACTAAGGCAGTTATTTATCTTATAACTTGTCCTTGTGGTAAAAATGATGTGGGTAAAACAAAGCGCGAATTAAAAGTACGAATCTCGGAGCATCGTAGCACCATTAGGTGCAAAAACTCTACATACCCAGTCGCTGCCCACTTTTTGGAAGCGAACCACTCGATTTCTTCCCTACGTTATATCGGCATCGAACAGGTCACCCTCCCTAGGAGAGGGGGTGACCTCGACAACTTATTGTTAAAACGAGAGGCTGCCTGGATCTTTAATTTAAAGACCCTTGCTCCCTTCGGTCTCAACATAGACTTTGATTTGAAGCCATTCTTCTGATTTTGCGATTCATTGTAAATGTTGTGGGCCTATGTAGCCAAGTATCTATGATCATATGCTACCCATGTTTTTTGAATGTTGTTTTTATCTGTGAATTGGCCAATGCTATTAGGCCATGATTACAGACACCTGCGTGTGTCCTTTGACACTATATAAACTAGTGACCTGCAGTGTTTGTCATTATACCCTGATGAAGACAGCTTGTCTGTCGAAACGTTGGTTATTTTTCACTCCCTCCTCTCTACATTTTCTTCATCTGTTTCTGCTGCTAAGGCCACTTTCTACCACTCTAAATTCCAAGCATCTGCCTCTAACCCTAGGAAGCTCTTTGCCACATTTTCCTCCCTCCTGAATCCCCCCCCCCCCCCGGCCCCCCCCTCCTCTCTCTCTGTGGATGACTTCGTCAACCACTTCGAAAAGAAGGTTGACGACATTCGATCCTCGTTTGTTAAGTCTAATGACACTGCTGGTCCTACTCACACTGCCCTACCCTATGCTTTGACTTCTTTCTCCCCTCTCTCTCCAGATAAAATCCTGCGACTTGTGACTGCAGGCCGCCCAACAACCTGCCCGCTTGACCCCATCCCCTCCTCTCTTCTCCAGACCATCTCCGGTGACCTTCTCCCCTACCTCACCTCGCTGATCAACTCATCCTTGACCGCTGGCCATGTCCCTTCCGTCTTCAAGAGAGCGAGAGTTGCTCCCCTTCTCAAGAAACCAACACTCGATCCCACTGATGTCAACAACTACAGACCAGTATCCCTTCTTTCTTTTCTTTCCAAAACTATTGAGCGTGCCGTCTTTAGCCAACTCTCTTGCTATCTCTCTCAGAATGACCTTCTTGATCCAAACCAGTCAGGTTTCAGGACTGGTCATTCAACTGAGACTGCTCTTCTCTGTGTCACGGAGGCTCTCCGCACTGCTAAAGCTAACTCTCTCTCCTCTGCTCTTGTCCTTCTAGACCTGTCTGCTGCCTTTGATACTGTGAACCATCAGATCCTCCTCTCCACCCTCTCCGAGCTGGGCATCTCCGGCGCGGCTCACTCCTGGATTGCGTCCTACCTGACCGGTCGCTCCTACCAAGTGGCGTGGCGAGAAGCTGTCTCCGCACCACGTGCTCTCACCACTGGTGTCCCCCAGGGCTCAGTCCTAGGCCCTCTCCTTTTCTCCCTATACACCAAGTCACTTGGCTCTGTCATATCCTCACATGGCCTCTCCTATCATTGCTACGCTGACGATACACAACTAATCTTCTCCTTTCCCCCTTCTGATAACCAGGTGGCGAATCGCATCTCTGCATGTCTGGCAGACATATCAGTATGGATGACGGATCACCACCTCAAGCTGAACCCTGGCAAGACGGAGCTGCTCTTCCTCCCGGGGAAGGACTGCCCGTTCCATGATCTCGCCATCACGGTTGACAACTCCGCTGTGTCCTCCTCCCAGAGTGCGAAGAGCCTAGGCGTGACCCTGGACAACACCCTGTCGTTCTCCGCCAACATCAAGGCGGTGACCCGCTCCTGCAGGTTCATGCTCTACAACATTCGGAGAGTACGACCCTGCCTTACACAGGAAGCGGCACAGGTCCTAATCCAGGCACTTGTCATCTCCCGTCTGGACTACTGCAACTCGCTGTTGGCTGGCCTCCCTGCCTGTGCCATTAATCCCCTACAACTCATCCAGAATGCCGCAGCCCGTCTGGTGTTCAACCTTCCCAAGTTCTCTCACGTCACCCCCCTCCTCCGCACACTCCACTGGCTTCCAGTTGAAGCTCGCATCCGCTACAAGACCATGGTGCTTGCCTATGGAGCAGTGAGGGGAACGGCACCTCTGTACCTTCGGGCTCTGATCAGTCCCTACACCCAAACGAGGGCATTGCGTTCATCCACCTCTGGCCTGCTGGCTCCCCTTCCTCTGCGGAAGCATAGTTCCCGCTCAGCCCAGTCAAAACTGTTCGCTGCTCTGGCACCCCAATGGTGGAACAAGCTCCCTCACGACGCCAGGACAGCGGAGTCACTCACCACCTTCCGGAGGCATTTGAAACCCCACCTCTTTAAGGAATACCTGGGATAGGATAAAGTAATCCTTCTACCCCCCCCCCCCCCAAAAAATTGTAAAGTGGTTATCCCACTGGCTATAGGGTGAACGCACCAATTGGTGAGTCGCTCTGGATAAGAGCGTCTGCTAAATGACGTAAATGTGCCCTTGAGCAAGGCACTTAACCCTAATTGCTCCTGTAAGTCGCTCTGGATAAGAGCGTCTGCTAAATGACTAAAATGTAAATGTAAATGTTATTAGGATATTAAATGATTTCATCTGAGCTCCTAGAGTGTGCGGCTTTTCTTTCCTTTTCCAAGTGTTTTACGCCGTCAGCCAGCATCTCGCCTAAATAGGGATGCGTTTCTTTCGCCTTTATCTTATACTTACATTACAACACAAATATGTAAATGCATTTATAACTATCTTGATGTACGGTTTCCCCAAAAATGTGTGTTGAAAATAAATGTCAAGAAAGTCCTAATAATAAAACTCACCTTCCAAGTTTTGGTGATGAACCCATGACGACACAGTGGGCTTGGGCTGTTGTGTTTTTTTCTCAGTCTGTCCTTCCTCCACCTTATCTGCATCTACAAACCTCTCCTCCTCCTCCTCTTCCTTAAGATCTTTGAAATTCTCCTCCTCACCATCCTGCAATCAGTTCATAATATGTGAGATCAAGTCACGATGACAAATCATTACAATGTGGAATAGTGTTCCATTATGTAACTGCACAATATGAAAATAACTATGACTTTATGCTAACAGTCCTGTGTGGCTCAGTTGGTTGAGCATGGCCTATGTTCAATTCCCGCTAGGGCCACCAATACGAGAATGTGTGCATGCAAGACTGTAAATTCACTTTGGATAAAAGCGTCTGCTAAATGGCATGTATTATTATTATTATACAGTGAGGGAAAAAAGTATTTGATCCCCTGCTGATTTTGTACGTTTGCCCACTGACAAAGAAATGATCAGTCTATGATTTTAATGGTAGGTTTATTTGAACAGTGAGAGACAGAATTACAACAAAAAAATCCAGAATAACGCATGTCAAAAATGTTATAAATTGATTTGCATTTTAATGAGGGAAATAAGTATTTGACCCCTCTGCAAAACATTACTTAGTACTTGGTGGCAAAACCCTTGTTGGCAATCACAGAGGTCAGACGTTTCTTGTAGTTGGCCACCAGGTTTGCACACATCTCAGGAGGGATTTTGTCCCACTCCTCTTTGCAGATCTTCTCCAAGTCATTAAGATTTCGAGGCTGACGTTTGGCAACTCGAACCTTCAGCTCCCTCCACAGATTTTCTATGGGATTAAGGTCTGGAGACTGGCTAGGCCACTCCAGGACCTTAATGTGCTTCTTCTTGAGCCACTCCTTTGTTGCCTTGGCCGTGTGTTTTGGGTCATTGTCATGCTGGAATACCCATCCACGACCCATTTTCAATGCCCTGGCTGAGGGAAGGAGGTTCTCACCCAAGATTTGACGGTACATGGCCCCGTCCATCGTCCCTTTGATGCGGTGAAGTTGTCCTGTCCCCTTAGCAGAAAAACACCCCCAAAGCATAATGTTTCCACCTCCATGTTTAACGATGAGGATGGTGTTCTTGGGGTCATAGGCAGCATTCCTCCTTCTCCAAATACGGCAAGTTGAGTTGATACCAAAGAGCTCCATTTTGGTCTCATCTGACCACAACACTTTCACCCAGTTCTCCCCTGAATCATTCAGATGTTCATTGGCAAACTTCAGACGGGCATGTATATGTGCTTTCTTGAGCAGGGGGACCTTGCGGGCGCTGCAGGATTTCAGTCCTTCACGGCGTAGTGTGTTACCAATTGTTTTCTTGGTGACTATGGTCCCAGCTGCCTTGAGATCATTGACAAGATCCTCCTAATCTCAGCTTGTTACCTGTATAAAAGACACCTGGGAGCCAGAAATCTTTCTGATTGAGAGGGGTCAAATACTTATTTCCCTCATTAAAATGCAAATCAATTTATAACATTTTTGACATGCGTTTTTCTGGAATTTTTTGTTGTTATTCTGTCTCTCACCGTTCAAATAAACCTAACATTAAAATTATAGACTGATCATTTCTTTGTCAGTGGGCAAACTTACAAAATCAGCAGGGGTTCAAATACTTTTCCCTCTCTGTAATTACACACATACATATATATATATATATATATATATATATATATATATAACATTATTATAATCATGGTGCTCTGCCTCACCCCACCCTCCTGCAGCAGCAGCTTGAGGCCTGGTTTGGCCTTCATGACCTCTGACACCAGGAAAAGAGCCCCGCAGGCGAAGGTAGGGTTCTGCTCACAGCTGACCTGCAGCAGCCTCTTCACAAAGCCTTTCACCCGCCGCAGGACGATGTCTGCCTTCAGAGACTTATACAGCAGGTTGAGGAACATACTCTGCCTGGAGCACAGAGACAGACCTGGGTCCATGAGTTTCCTGTAAACCAGAATGGTAATTGTAGTTACAGGCATGTTTACAGTAACACTGACTAAGAAAGTGCAAAAAACATCCCTGACTAAATAGTATAAAGTTATGGGGAGAAATTAGACAACTGTGTAGAAACAAGGGAGCAAAACATAGCCGTCAACCAGTCCAGTACGTTTACCTGTAGAGAGCCACATAGTAGCGATCGGAAACGATCTGCTGAGAATCCATCACCTGGAAGAGCAGCATGAGAGCCTGGACGGCCGTGTTGAACTTGGCCAGGTGAACTGCTTTAAACAGCGTGTCCAGCTGCTCCTTCACCTTCTCGTCCCCGGCCTTGGCATACGGATAGGCCCTGTTCACGCCCGACAGCAGGGCACTCAGCATCTTGGACTCCACATCCTTCTTCTTGATGCAGGCTCGGAAGAAGGAGAAGTAGATGGAGATGAGCTTGCTGGCCAGCTCGGCCTCGTCATGGCTCAGCAGCACCTGGTTGAGGAAGCACACGGCGTAGTACTGGGCCTTCAGGTTGATGTTGGGCCTGAACATGAGGCGCTCCACCTCGCTGCACACCACCGCCTTCATGTTGGGATGCTTGTGCAGCAGGGTCTCCAGCAGGTAGGAGGCCTTGGCTGCAGTCTTGTACTCGGGGTCTCCCAGCTTGTTGACCACCTGGATGAGCAGTGCCCTCTCCTGCTCGGGCCGGTTGAGCAGCAGCTCGTGGGCCGTGGCCAGAGACTTGGCCTTGGTGGCTGCCACCGTGTCGTGGGCCAGCTCGTCCAGGGCCACCACAAACTCAGCCACGTGGAGCTTCAGAAGGTGCTCAAAGTACCACAGAATGAGGCGGCGGTCGCGCGCATCTTTATTCCCACTCGCCTTCTGCTCCAGCTTGTCAAAAGGATGCTGGGAGAAGGTCTTGAGCTTGCGGTTCTCAGGCAGCAGGTCGGACATGAAGAGCTCTCTGAGGGTGTCCAGGGCCATTAGACCCTGTCTGCGGCTGCCCTTCTTCTTCACCATGGAGACCAAGTTCTCCACGTGCTCGATGCTCTGTACTGGGGCATCCTGGATCAGAACGGTCATGGCTGCCATTCTGTCAGCCAGCGTCCCTGCTGAGACCACATTCTTCATCCAGGCTGAGTTGGCCCCCTTCTGCATGTTCTTCTTGCTCTTGTAGAGCCCAGTCTCAGCCTCAAACAGCTTGATAGCCAGGGCTTTGTACTGGGAGATCAGAGACTCATCCTGTGCGTCAGAGGTACCTTCTGCGGTGTACTCCAGGTCAAACCACTTGCCACCTGGTTTGATCAGCAGCAGCTGCCTCGGCTGAAACTCAAACACGTTGGCATTTAGTTTAGCTTTCTTTCCAGTGGCTGAGACGCTGGTTTTTGCTGTCTCTTTATTTTTCTTATTCTTCGTCTCCACTGTAGATGTAGTAGGCTGGTCCTTGCCTTTATGCTCTGGCTTGGGTTTCTGTTCATCCGACTTAGCTTTCTTGGCATCAGCCTTTTTGCTTTCCTTTTGGCTGGCCTCTGCCTTCTCTTCCTCTGTATGCTCATCTGGGACAATCTGTTGGTCTTTGTATGAGCGGATGCCTAGCTTGGCGATGAACTTCTCCAACTCGCCAGGTTCCAGGTCATCAATGGCTCCTTTCTTTCCACCATCGACCAGCTCGTTCTCGTCGTTGATGCTGGCAAGCAGGGCAAAGTCAGCCTACATCGGGACAAGAAGAAAGCCATGAGAAAACAGGTGATTTTACAGTCATGACTTGTCTGTGAACATGACTAAGTCTAACTAGCTACTTGCTAGCAGCTATAATGCAGTAACGTCAAAGATATTCATAACTAACCCCTTTTGTCTGTGGTAACGTTAAGTAGCTAGCTAACATCAATAACTGACCTGACAGTGCTAGATAAAGCATAGCACGATGTTTTATTCGATCAAATATAGTTTATCAATCATTGAAACAATTGTTTATGCAACATTTTGGGAGAAAAAGCCACGTGTTTACATAGAAGTCGCAGTTGTGGTTTACTGCTAACGTTAGCAGGAGGCTAAATTGGTCGTTGGCTGCTAGCCTCAGATACTTACTCGAGTTCCACCCAAACGTAAAACCTCGTCCAAATTAAATTCGTCGTCCGGTTGAGGACCATTCATTTCTTCTTTTTCATCATCATCTCCTTCATCGTTGTCATTTTCAAACTCGTCCTTTACATTAACATAATTTGTTTTGGCTACTACCTTACGTTCCTTTCCTTTCGGTGCCATGCTGACATCAGCGGGTAGAAATACGACAGGACCTGGAACAACAATGTACGGTAACTGCCTTACTACTGTCTGTTGAAAGAAAATCCTTGTGATGTCTATATTCAGTTAAACTTCAGAACAATATTAGCTATTTTAATCTAAAACGGAATAATTATATTCGTAAGAAATGTCAGGTGTTTATTTGAGATTTGTATGTATCGAACAGGACTGTTTGACTTAAAGTTCAACGTTCACAAATCAATATGATCCAATCAAAATCTTTGTTACAACTACGCGACTAGCTAATTGTCCAATCAGAATTGTTGTTGCCGTAAGAAGGCAAGACGTACTTGCACACAATTGTAGGTACCTAGCTTGTTGTAGATGTCCCATGAGTTCTTTGAGTAATTAAGAGATTATCTGCCAAAGTCAGTCATATAAATATGGAATACAGTTTGACATGTTATTGCATGTATGAAACGAGTTAACGTTAGCTGATCCTCGAGATTGTGCTTTTAGTTGCCTCTATCATGCTACAAATGCAGCTATCGAACTACGTTAGCTAGCTAACTTGATAACACGAGCTCCTGCTTTGAAAGTCAGACTTGATGACAATTTCTGAGGAAGTACAGTACTGTTACAGTGGATAATTGTTTTAGTATTGTAACTAGATTGCTGTCTCAATGAGGACACTTAGAGCACTGCAGAGATTAAGCAGAGTCCCTGTCTGCCCTTGTCCACCACCATTATCTGGTAAGGTCAATTTCTCTATTTAGTCTATGTCTGGCCGTCAGATAGCTAAGCGAATGATAACTAATATGCTCTAATGTTTACGTTTTCTTCTCTATAGTTAGATCATGGAGCGTGGCACAGAGCCAAAGTTGCTCCAGCAGTTCAGCAGAGAAACCAATGCCATTAAACTCGATGCTCAGACACCTAACCTCCAAGATCAAAGCCACAGGTCCTATCTCAGTGGCAGAGTACATGAGAGAGGTTCTCACCAACCCAGTCACGGTAACTACTAGTTACACACACACACACACACACACACACACACACACACACATTGTAAAGTAACCAGTCAGACTATGCTATTACTCTATAGAAATGTTTGCTTCAGAGATGAAGTGGTCTATTTCATGTTCCAGGGCTATTATATGCAGAATGATATGCTTAGGCCAGATGGAGATTTCATCACATCACCCGAAATTAGTCAGATCTTTGGGGAGGTAAGCATTGATCCAGAACAATATTTCAATTAACATTAAATTAATACATTTATGTATTGTTACATGATCAACAGTCTCTTGATGTTCTAGTCTCTTGATGTTGTTCCAATCCCAATGCCCTGAGTGATGATAATGGTTTGAGCTCATCACTTCTCTGCCTGTAGTTGCTGGGGATCTGGTGTTTGAGTGAGTGGATGGGAGCAGGGAAGCCCAGTCACTTCCAGTTAGTGGAGTTTGGACCAGGAAGAGGCTCCTTGGCCAATGACATTTTCAGAGTATGTATGTCCAGTCCAGTGCTGCTAAGTCTTACTATATTGCAAAAATGCTGTGTGTGAACACACTATTCATGTCAGTTCAATCTATGATCAGTGGATGGAGCCATTTCCACATTTTGCCTGCTATATATTGAAATTAGTTTTCTTTTAATCAAAACATTTCTCTTGATTTTGGACAGGCACAACCTGTCCTGACCCTCATCATGGATGGGTTTCAGACCAGTGACTCAGAGTCCATGATCCAATGAACTAAACTACACTGTCTCTGTCTGTTTGTCTCTCTGTCTGTCTTTCTGTGTCTGTCTTGTCCAGGTGTTCAGTCAGCTGCGTGGGGCCCTGGGTGAGGCTGCAGTCTCAGTGCACCTGGTGGAGGTGAGTCCTAAACTGAGCCAGGTGCAGGCCCAGTGTCTAACAGGAGACCAGAGCCAGGTGTCGGCCAGCGAGGATGAGCCTGTGTACCGCCAGGGGACCACCACCACAGGCCTCCCCATCTCCTGGTATCGCAACCTGGACGATGTCCCCAGAGGTAATAATTTATCATTTTAAATTATGATTATTTTAGTTAATCTTAGTTTAGTTTATCTCATGTTGGACTACGTCCCCAAAGGTAGACAGGGTAGAAGCTTGGCTGGAGATTAATGATGCATGCTGTAATAATCTATTGTTTTAGCTATGGTAAGATTTTAGTTAATAGAATTTACTGTTTGTGAATTAGCAAAAAAAGGAATTGTCCGTAGAGCTCCGAGACAGGATTGTGTCGAGGCACAGATCTGGGGAAGGGTACCAAAAAATTTCTGCAGCATTGAAGGTCCCCAAGAACACAGTCGGCTCCATCATTCTTAAATGGAAGATGTTTGGAACCACCAAGACTCTTCCTAGAGCTGGCCGCCCAGCCAAACTGAGCAATCGGGGGAGAAGGGCCTTGGTCAGGGAGGTGATCAAGAACCCGATGGTCACTCTGACAGAGCTCTAGAGTTCCTCTGTGGAGATGGGAGAACCTTCCAGAAGGACAACCATCTCTGCAGCACTCCACCGATCAGGCCTTTATTGTAGAGTAGCCAGACAGAAGCCACTCTTCTGTAAAAGGCACATGACAGCCCGCTTGGAGTTTGCCAAAAGGCACCTAAAGGACTCTCAGACCATGAGAAACAAGATTCTCTGGTCTGATGAAACCAAGATTGAACTCTTTGGCCTGAATGCCAAGCGCCATGTCTGGAGGAACCCTGGCACCATCCCTACGGTGAAGCATGGTGGTGGCAGCATCATGCTGTGGGGATGTTTTTCAGCGGCGGGGACTGGGAGACTAGTCAGGATCAAGGAATAGATGAACGGAGTAAAGTACAGAGAGATCCTTGATGAAAACCTGCTCCAGAACGCTCAGGACCTCAGACTGGGGCGAAGTTCACCTTCCAACAGGACAACGACCCTATGCACACAGCCAAGACACCGCAGGAGCGGCTTCGGGACAAGTCTCTGAATGTCCTTGAGTGGCCCTGCCAGAGCCCGGACTTGAACCCGATCGAACATCTCTGGAGACCTGAAAATAGCTGTGCAGCAATGCTCCCCATCCAACCGGACAGAGCTTGAGAGGATCTGCAGAGAAGAATGGGAGAAACTCCCCAAATACAGGTGTGCCAAGCTTGTAGCATCCTACCCAAGAAGACTCGATGCTGGAATCGCTGCCAAAGGTGCTTCAACAAAGTACTGAGTAAAGGGTCTGAATACTTATGTAAATGTGATATTTCAGTTTTGTATTTTTAATAAATTAGCAAACATTTCGAAATACCTGTTTTTGCTTTGTCATTATGGGGTATTGTGTGTAGATTGATGAGGGGAAAAAACAATTAAATCAATTTTAGAATAAGGCTGTAACGTAACAAAATGTGGGAAAAGTCAAGGGGTCTATATATTTTCCTTTATTATTTTCCCCTAACCCTACCACCCCTCTCCTAATTAGAGTAAACTAATGGACAACAACACCTAGGCTTCTACTTCCATCTTATACATACTATATACATTTTACGGACACAATGCAACAGTTATCTTTTGTATAGCTCAGTTGGTAGAGCATGGCGCTTGCAACGCCAGGGTTGTGGGTTTGATTCCCACGGGGGGGCCAGTATGAAAATGTATGCACTCACTAACTGTAAGTCGCTCTGGATAAGAGCGTCTGCTAAATTACTAAAATTTTTGTTTGTAATCCCATCCTTCAGCTACCATTAACCCCTCCCATCCATCTCCAAGCCCATCCAGCTTTATTTATACTTTGCCATATATTTTTAACTGTGCTGTTTCACAAAAGTTCCGAACCCATATACATTTTATGGACACAGCATATTTTACGTTACTTATCTTGTTGTTTTTAATCCCACCCTTCAGCTCCACTCAACCCCTCCCATCTATCCCCCAACACCATCCATTATTTTATTATATTTTCCATACATTTTTCAACTGTGCTGTGATGTTTCACAAAGGTTCTGAACCTTTCTATTCTCATAGTTTCTACAGATTGTAAATTAAAGATAAACAATTTTGCTAAAAGTATTATTATATTATTGATCGATTGACTATGACTTTTCAAATCACCCAGTAGTGCTATCTGTAGAGTAAGCTCCAGGTAAATGTTGCACTTCTTCAACCATTCCTGGACCTGCGACCAAAAACAAGCTACATATGGACAGTACCAAAACAAATGATCTAATGATTCTGTCTCTTCACAGGCAAAAACTGCAGAGCTGGGATGGTTGTATCCCCCATATATATAACATTCTATTGGTTGCAAGAATTTTGTATAATCATTTAGATTGAACAATTCTAAGTTCTGAATCCGGCGTTGTTTTGCCTATCAGTTCATAAACCATGTGCCATGGAATCGGTACATCGCAAATCTCTTCCCAACTATTTTGCAATCTAAATTGCACAGCTGTCAATTTTATTGGTCCTTAAATGAAACTGGTATACTTTTTTATTTATCACAATTTTGTTTAACCAATTTTGGTCTTCAATGCAGGGCCAACAGACTAGTTCCTTACTTTTTCCCCCTTCTACTTGCCTTTTACATTTTTGCCGTAATGCTGCAATTAGTTGGTTGTAATTTTGGGTAGAGCAGACATTTCCATACATTTTTGTTAGCTGCATGTGTGACAACTCCACCAGTCCTATGATATAATTTGCAAAGATTATACCTGTTGTAAAAGTTTTTTTGAAAAATAATGTTTTTTTAAATCAATTAGTGTATTTGAGTTCAATATTTCTTATATTATTTGTTCTGTCTTTTCTGGTGGATTAAACTGAAATTGCAACCAACTTTGTATGGCTTGTTTTAAAAATAGCGATATTTTGGAGATTATTTCATTTTCAAATAACCGAAAGTGAGAGGTTGTAAACTGAATAAAGGGGAAAAGGCCATTCTTGAACATGGGGTGAGACATTCTTAGTAATCTGCTAGAGAACCAGTTCGGATTTAAATATAACTTTTGTATGACTGACGCCTTTAGTGAGAGGTCTAATGCTTTAATATGTAATAATTTCTGCCCTCCGAATTCATATTCATTATATAAATAGGCCCGTTTAATTTTGTCTGGCTTGCCGTTCCAAATAAAATGGAATATATTTTGCTCATATTACATTTACATTTTAGTCATTTAGCAGACGCTCTTATCCAGAGCGACTTACAGTTAGTGAGTGCATACATTTTTCATATAATTTTAAAAAAACAGGTCGCTAGGTGTAGGCAAGACCATAAGTAAATAGGTAAACTGGGATATGACTAAAGAGTTAATCAGGGTGATTTTTTTTCCCCACAAATAGACAGGTATTTTCCTTTCCATGGTAGCAAAATCTTATCTATTTTTGCTAACTTTCAATTAAAATGTATTGTAGTAAGATCATTTCTTTATTTCGGGATATGTATACCGAGTATGTCCACATCACCGTCAGACCATTTTATTGGTAAACTACATGGTAATGTAAAAGTTGTATTTTTTAGTGATCCAATACGTAATATAGGACACTTATCATAATTTTGTTGTAATCCAGAGAGGTTAGAAATAGTATCTAGATCCTCTGAGGCTGTGGAGGGATCCAAATTGTGGATTTAAAAGAAAGCATGAATCATCAGCGTACAATGACATCTTTGTTTTTAAGCCCTTGATTTCTAACCCCTTGATATTATTGTTGGATCTGATTTTAATAGCTAACATTTCGATGGCCATAATAAATAGATATGCCGATAGTGGACAACTTTGTTTTACTCCTCTTGACAGTTTAATACTTTCAGAGAAGTAGCCATTATTTACTATTTTACACCTAGGGTTACTATACATAACTTTAACCCATTTTATAAGAGATTTTCAGAAATTGAAATGTTCCAGGCATTTATATATATATTCCAGTCGTACTTTATCAAAAGCTTTTTCAAAGTCAGCTATGAATAGCAGGCCTGGTTTCCCAGATTTGTCATAGTGTTTGATTGTTTCCAGTACTTGTCTTATATTATCTCCAATGTGTCGTCCATGTAAAAAAAAAACCTGTCTGAATAGGGTAAATAATATCCGACAATATATTTTTAATTCTATGCGCTATGCATTTTGCTAGAATTTTTGCAACACAACACTGAAGTGTAAGGGGCTTCCAACTTTTTAAATGGACCGGATCTTTATATTTACCACTTGGATCCTGTTTCAGTAATAAGGAAATCACACCTTCTTGTTGAGTATCTGATAATCTATAATTTTTGTAGGAGTGGTTAAAACATGCTAATAACGGTCCTCTGAGTATATCTAAAAAGGTTTGGTATACCTCCACTGGTATGCCATCACAACCCTGGAGTTTTCCCAGACTTAAAGTCTTTAATTGTATCAAGAAGTTCCTCCTCTGTAATTTGGCCTTCACATGAGTATTTCTGTACAGCTGTTAATTTTACATTATTAATAGAAAAAAATCCATACAGTTATCTTCGGTTAGTGGAGATGGAGGAGAATGAAACGAAAAAATGTGCTTAAAGTACTTTGCTTCCTCTTTCAAAATATTGTTTGGTGAATCATGGGTGACTCCATCATTTGTCACAAGTTTCAGTAAATTATTTTTGGTAGCATTTCATGTCAAAGATTAAATCATAATTTGGTGGCATTTTTCCCCATGTTCCATCCAGTTCGCTTAATTTTTATAATATATTACACGTGATCTTTCTTGAATAAGTTCCTCCATTTATTTTTGTTTTTCCTCTAACTTGTTCTGTGCCTCTATGGTACAGTTGTTATTGCTATCTATTTGTACTATTAGTCCTTCCACTTCCAATTAGCTATTTATTGGCATTTTTTATTTCAAACAGGCTTCAGCATCTACCTCGCTCATGAGTTCTTTGATGCCTTACCCATCCACAAATTCCAGGTACATTTACTTCACCAGCTATTTTGATTATATATACTCTATATAATTGCTCCTGTAAGTCGCTCTGGATAAGAGCGTCTGCTAAATGACAAAAAATAAATAATAATATATATATATATATATATATATATATATATATATATATATATATATATATATATATATATATACAGTGAGGGAAAAAAGTATTTGATCCCCTGCTGATTTTGTACGTTTGCCCACTGACAAAGAAATGATCAGTCTATAATTTTAATGGTAGGTTCATTTGAACAGTGAGAGACAGAATAACAACAAAAAAATCCAGAATAACGCATGTCAAAAATGTTATACATTGATTTGCATTTTAATGAGGGAAATAAGTATTTGACCCCTCTGCAAAACATTACTTAGTACTTGGTGGCAAAACCCTTGTTGGCAATCACAGAGGTCAGATGTTTCTTGTAGTTGGCCACCAGGTTTGCACACATCTCAGGAGGGATTTTGTCCCACTCCTCTTTGCAGATCTTCTCCAAGTCATTAAGGTTTCGAGGCTGACGTTTGGCAACTCGAACCTTCAGCTCCCTCCACAGATTTTCTATGGGATTAAGGCCTGGAGACTGGCTAGGCCACTCCAGGACCTTAATGTGCTTCTTCTTGAGCCACTCCTTTGTTGCCTTGGCCGTGTGTTTTGGGTCATTGTCATGCTGGAATACCCATCCACGACCCATTTTCAATGCCCTGGCTAAGGGAAGGAGGTTCTCACCCAAGATTTGACGGTACATGGCCCCGTCCATCGTCCCTTTGATGCAGTGAAGTTGTCCTGTCCCCTTAGCAGAAAAACACCCCCAAAGCATAATGTTTCCACCTCCATGTTTGACGGTGGGGATGGTGTTCTTGGGGTCATAGGCAGCATTCCTCCTCCTCCAAACACGGCGAGTTGAGTTGATGCCAAAGAGCTCGATTTTGGTCTCATCTGACCACAACACTTTCACCCAGTTCTCCTCTGAATCATTCAGATGTTCATTGGCAAACTTCAGACGGCCCTGTATATGTGCTTTCTTGAGCAGGGGGACCTTGCGGGCTCTGCAGGATTTCAGTCCTTCACGGCGTAGTGTGTTACCAATTGTTTTCTTGGTGACTATGGTCCCAGCTGCCTTGAGATCATTGACAAGATCCTCCCGTGTAGTTCTGGGCTGATTCCTCACCGTTCTCATGATCATTGCAATTCCACGAGGTGAGATCTTGCATGGAGCCCCAGGCCGAAGGAGATTGACAGTTCTTTTGCGAATAATCGCACCAACTGTTGTCACCTTCTCACCAAGCTGCTTGGCGATGGTCTTGTAGCCCATTCCAGCCTTGTGTAGGTCTACAATCTTGTCCCTGACATCCTTGGAGAGCTCTTTGGTCTTGGCCATGGTGGAGAGTTTGGAATCTGATTGATTGATTTCTTCTGTGGACAGGTGTCTTTTATACAGGTAACAAACTGAGATTAGGAGCACTCCCTTTAAGAGTGTGCTCCTAATCTCAGCTCGTTACCTGTATAAAAGACACCTGGGAGCCAGAAATCTTTCTGATTGAGAGGGGGTGAAATACTTATTTCCCTCATTTAAAATGCAAATCAATATATAACATTTTTGACATGCGTTTTTCTGGATTATTTTTTTGTTATTCTGTCTCTCACTGTTCAAGTAAACCTACCATTAAAATTATAGACTGATAATTTCTTTGTCAGTGGGCAAACGTACAAAATCAGCAGGGGATCAAATAGTTTTTTCCCTCACTGTATATAGATCTTGATAGCAGATCACAAAGAATTGAGAAAAATGTATTGTAATTACCATTTGATCCATTGCGTTGTGTGGTGCATTGATTGTGATGTGGGCACAGAGAACAGAGAAGGGCTGGAGGGAGGTGATGGTGGATATTGACCCAGATGAGCCAGGCAAGCTGAGGCTTGTCATAGTGCCAGCTCCCACTCTGGCCTCTACTCAACTCATACAGGTGAGTGCTGCGTGTTGATGCTTAACTCAGACCATCTTTAATAACAAATACAAAAATCGTATCACATTTAGTTTGTATGTATCAGTTGAAAGATTCAAATGAAAATGATCGTAAGCATTTTATCAGATTTATCTAAATTTAGCAATCGCTGATGTTCAATGTGAATGGATGTCTCCTAGATTGAAAAAAAAAAAAAAACGGTTATATATCTTTGCTAAACCTACCTGTACACTACCAGTCAAAAGTTTAGACACACCTACTCATTCAAGGGTTGTTCTTCATTTTTACAATTTTCTACATTGTAGAATAATAGTGAAGACATCAAAACTATGAAATAACACATATGGAATCATGTAGTAACCAAAAAAGTGTTAAACAAATCAAAATATATTTTATATTTGAGATTCTTCAAAGTAGCCACCCCTTGCCTTGATGACAGCTTTGCACACTCTTGGCATTCTCTCAACCAACTTCATGAGGTAGTCACCTGGAATGCATTTCAATTAACAGGTGTACCTTGTTAATTTGTGGAATTTATTTCCTTCTTAATGCGTTTGAGCCAATCAGTTGTGTTGTGACAAGGTAAGGGGGGTGGGGGGGTAAACAGAAGATAGCCCTATTTGGTAAAAGACCAAGTCCATATTATGGCAAGAACAGCTCAAATAAGCAAAGAGAAACGACAGTCCATTACTTTAAGACATGAAGGTCAGTCAATACGGAACATTTCAATAACTTTTAAAGTTCTTCAAGTGCAGTCACAAAAACCATCAAGCGCTATGATGAAATTGGCTCTCATGAGGACCGCCACAGGAATGGAAGACCCAGAGTTACCTCTGCTGCAGAGGATAAGTTCATTAGAGTTACCAGCCTCAGAAATTGCAGCCCAAATAAATGCTTCACAGAGTTCAAGTAACAGACACATCTCAACATCAACTGTTCAGAGGAGACTGTGTGAATCAGGCCTTTATGGTCGAATTGCTGCAAAGAAACCACTACTAAAGGACCAATTAGAAAAAGAGACTTGCTTGGGCCAAGAAACATGAGCAATGGAAATTAGACCAGTGGAAAGTTGTGCTTTGGTCTGGATCCAAATTTGAGATTTTTGGTTCCAACCGCCGTGTCTTTGTGAGACGCCGTGTCTTTGTGAGACGCGGTGTGGGTGAACGGATGATCTCTGCATGTGTTTTTCCCACCGTAAAGCATGGAGGAGGAGGTGTTATGGTGTGGGGGTGCTTTGCTGGTGACACTGTCTGTGATGTATTTAGAATTCAAGGCACACTTAACCAGCATGGCTACCACAGCATTCTGCAGCGATACGCCATCCCATCTGGTTTGGGCTTAGTGGGACTATCATTTGTTTTTCAACAGGACAAAGACCCAATACACCTCCAGGATACCAAGAGTGTCTACTTTGAAGAATCTTAAAATCTAAAATATATTTTGATTTGTTTAACACTTTTTTGGTTACTACATGATTCCATATGTGCTATTTCATAGTTCTGATGTCTTCACTATTATTCTACAATGTAGAAAATAGTAAAAATAAAGAAAAACCCTTGAATGAGTAGGTGTGTCCAAACTTTTGACTGGTACTGTACATTGACACAAACACACTCAAATTGCTCGACAAACTACTTTTTCCTTAAAAGTCTGAACGTCTGTGCAGCATCTGGTTTTTATTACCGGTGTTTATGCAGTATATACAGTACCAACGTATTTAATCTGGCCTCTCTGGAAGAGTGCAGGGGCTTTGAACAGTGTGCCAAAGCCTTACATCATGAGTGAGCTTGGGTGAAACCCCCTTACTGGTTTAAAATCCTGGCTAATGGCTGCAGCCCCTGCCTGACTGTGTATCTCAGGTTCCACATACTGTAGTAGAGTTTGTTAACCTTAACGCTGTTCTCACTGCGCTCGCCAGGTAAAAGCCCTACATAATCTTATCAGTTGCTCTGTCATCTCTGTGGTCTAATGGGGTTTTCCATTACAAGTAGACAGGCCTATAGGTTTTAATACTCCACTTTAGTCTCTTTTTCCCCTCATAGATGTCCCAACGTGTGTTCCCTGATAGTCTAAGGGTCTGTCACAAATCGCACCCTATTCCCTTTATAGTGCACTACTTTTGACCAGGCCCAATAGGGCTCTGATCGATAGTAGTGCACTATATAGGGAATAGGGTGCCATTTGGGACGTATCCTAACCCACCAAAGCTATCCCCTGCTCGTTTTGTGATGCCTTGGGGCTTAGAGCCAGTGCTGCTAAGTGGAGATGAATTGGAAGCAATGTCATGTATAATTGCTGATGTGTGTGCTCAGGCCCAGACGAGGTAAGCAGAGCTGCTCTTGTTTTTGTTCTGAAACCCCTCACCTCCTAGGCAGGTGAAAAGAGACGGCACGTGGAGGTCTGCCCGGACGGAGGGGTCATCGTCCAGCGCCTAGCCAATCGGATCGCCGAAGACGGGGGTGCAGCATTGATTGCTGACTACGGGCACGACGGGACCAAGATGGACACGTTCAGAGTAAGTGTCAGCATGTCTCCAACATGGCCCGTTTATCAGCAGGTTTTAATATGGTCTGTGTGTGTGTGACTGTGAGTCTCTGTGTGTATGGTAAAGTGATTAGCCGAGCAAGCCTCAGCTACAAGGAAACAGATGCAGGAAGCCGACATGCCTCTCTTGCCCTTTGCTGGTAGGCACACGGAAATCAGGGTCAACTGCCCTCCAGTCCTGTTCCTGGGGTTCCACCCTAACCCAGCCCCATCTGGCCCCTATTAAGAGGGGTGGGCTCTGCCTGGTTCCCTGGCTCTGAGACTCACTGATGTGTGTGATGAAAAGGGGGGGAGAGGTTCAAGCAAGCGGCCCCCTCCTTCAAAAGACGGGGAATCACAGAATCCCATCTGTTAACAAGGCAGCCATGTTCCAGGCAGGCTCACACTTATGTCACTAGATGAAGATATTATCAATCGTTGCTCATGAGAGGAGAGACCTGATTTGGTATAAAAAAAGGGAATTATTTCAGATCAATGCAATTTTTAACAACTAACGAATTAAATCCAATGAAAATGTTAGAATACACAAATAAGGAACTGTAGTAGTCATACGTCATGTCTACCATTTCTGTCAATACACCAGAACACCTCTCCTGTCCCCCACCCCCAGGGTTTTAAAGGTCATAAGCTCCATGATGTCCTAGCCTCCCCCGGCTCTGCTGACCTGACTGCTGACGTGGACTACAGTTACCTGAGGAGGATGGCTGGAGCTACGGTGGCCTGCATGGGCCCTGTCTCTCAGAGGGACTTCCTGAAAAATATGGGCATCGATACACGCTTACAGGTGGGAAGGAGCACTGTGTTCACACTTCCCTGTTCCACTTATTTATACATGGGGCTAAGGTGACCACTGTATTAACAATCAGTTTGTATCCGTTTCTTTCAAAGCATTAAGTTAAGTGGATGCTCATGGTTTTCAACTGGCCGATTGGGGCTTTTAAGATAACTTGGGCTTTTACTTTGCCCTCTACTCAATTAGCTTTGTCTAATTCTAACGTTGTGTCTTCAGGTTCTGCTGAGGAACTGTGCAGCCCCGTCCACAAGGTCCCAGTTGATCCAGGGCTATGACATGCTGACCAACCCCCTGAAGATGGGCGAGAGGTTCCAGTTCTTCACCATGCTCAACCACAGTCGCCTCACCAGGACCGAGCCTGAGCAGTCCAAGGGGGGGAAGAAGATGGCCCCAGTGCCCAAGAAGGGCCCAGCGCCCCTGCCTGTGGCTGGCTTCAGTGAGCTTGGCCTCTCGTAAAGAACGGACCCAGATACTCACCATGGGTTCCTCTGCACTGCAGAGGCTGTGTGTCAACTCACCTGTGAAGGCACTTAAAAGTTGCACCCATAAATGTTATACTATACCTTGCTTATACATTTACATTTGACGTTTTAGTCATTTAGCAGACTATCTAGAGCGACTTACTTATTTTCATACTTGTTTCGTACTGGTCCCCTGTGGGAATCGAACCCACAATCCTGGCATTGCAAGCGCCATGCTCTACCAACTGAGCCACACGGGATTATGTACACAAGACCCTCGGAAGCTATAGGGTTTGGTCTGACTGTGGTGTGAGTTTGGTTTGAAAAGTTGAACTGATGTGCTGATAAAATTTTAAGAATTATGCACCTTACCTCACTGAAGGAAGATGGTGACTGACATCTTTCTCTATCATGTATATGTTCATTAGACCAACATATAATTCAGAGTGGTAGAGAATGTAACTTCGATCAGTTAGAAGAACATCACCCAAGGTCACGGTGTTTGAAGCTATAGGAAACCATTAATGGCTCTGGGCCACGTGGTGCCTGGCTGTCTCCACATCTTGAAGCAATTTGGGCTCGGGTCAAAAGTAGTGCACTACATAGGGAATAGGGTGCCATTTGGGACGTAGTCAGCCACTCACAGCATGCTGTCTTTTGCTCTGACAGGCTCCTCCTTACCGCCCCAGTAGCAATTAAAGGATACTATTACACAGGCCGATTACCGTAGCCAAAATAACCAGCCAGAATAACTGAGGGACGCTAACATGAAGCTATCATATTAAAGACTTAATGATTAAAAGTCATTACAAAACATTTTCTTGTGGATATTGTAGATATCTCTCTCTTTGTCTTGGAACCACATAATGCGCTAAGTATTTTCATTTGATTAAGACTGAAAATATTATGGTATTAATCCAGTGTATTGGCATATTTACATTTTGAAAGAAATCTGTCCCATTCTTAGAAGATTTCTTAGAAGGGCAACAGAAATGTTTTCCTGCTCAAACTTGTAGAGGGGTAGGATGTATTTTCTGGGGCCATCTATAGGCCTCAACATGTGGTGCTATCATTACACAGCAGTAGTTACCCATTTATTTTCTTCCTCAGCCACAAACTGCTCTGTTCGTCTTAACATATGGCACAATGAAATGTGGCAGGCTCCACTGGCACTGTGACAGTTGGATTTAACTACACAGATTAGAGACATAAAGAGAGCTCTTTTACCCCAGTTATTCTGACTATTGGCTGTCTCCCAAATGGTACACTATTCCCTAAATAGGGCCCTGGTCAAAAGTAGTGCACTACATAGGGAATAGGGTGTCATTAGGGACGCAGCGTCCCATAGTTCCCTCAGTCCTTCAACCAATTAAATGATCAAGAAATCTTGCTCATTTTCTAAATTTCAATAGGATGCTTTTGTGTGTTATGTTGTATGGTGGTCCTCTGTAGCTCAGCTGGTAGAGCACGGCGCTTGTAACGCCAAGGTAGTGGGTTCGATCCCCGGGACCACCCATACACAAAAATGTATGCACGCATGACTGTAAGTCGCTTTGGATAAAAGTGTCTGCTAAATGGCATATTATTATTATTATTGTATGGCCTATCTTACGCAGTTATAACGGTTCACTGTAGTTTCCATGAGTTCTCTTACATAAAGGTAGAATGTGTTCCTTTGTCTGGAACACCGCAATATCATCTGATAAGACCAAGGGGACACGAGCTGCAAATTAAATCAGGAGTACATTCTCTGCGGTATTGTCCGAGGCGTTTGTATTTATTATTAGATATGTGAATATTGAAATATAGAAAACATTGACATCTGCCAATCCAGTGGCAACACAGGCTTGAAATGAATCTCAGGTTTAAGTCATCACCCTTCTACATGTGCTTTGTACTGAACAGACAGTATACTGTATGGCAAACGTCATACCACAACACAAATGTTGTTTCACAGTCCAAAGGGGTGGGTTGAGACTGAAAATAGGCTAATACCAAAATAAGTGTGAAGACAACATATTGGAGTTTCAATTGAGTCATTTGGTGTTTTCACAAAACAACAATCATAATTTTTGTCCCTGTACACAAAATTGCAGTCATCTGATACTATAAATGAAATGAATGCATTCATTGTATTCTGTATTGTCATGAATCTTGTAACTGGGTTAGTATCCTGCATTGAGTATGACTGCACTTGGTTCCACTGGTGTCAGCCAGTGGTGTCAAAAGTTATATATTTTATTAATGTGTTTGTATGTCATCAACTGCTATTAGCATGGACAAGTTGTAAGGACATCATTCATGTTTTGGAATGGGAGAAACACCAAACAAAGCCAAAATGTGACACACACACAAATGATGGATTTCTCTCTTCAACATACATTTTGGCTTCTTTGACACATTACAGAGTAACATTGTTCTGCTACTGTCTTTGTATCCTACCATGCTTTGTTATCACTGTGATCAGACTTTGTCAGTGTCCCAAATGGCAACCTATTCCCTATATAGTACACTGGTTTTGACCACAGCTTTCGTCAGAAGTAGTGCACTATATAGGGTGCCATTTGGGATGAATCTGCCGGACTGCTTGGCCTTGCAGCTCCCTCACCGGGGTACAGCAGTAGTTCTGGTGTTGAGTGTGGGCCCAGTCAGTCACCAGTACAAACACAACACCACACGTAATGAAATGAGAAGGAAAATAATTAAGGCAGAGCTTTGAGAAGGTCACATCAGTTCTTGAACAAAAACCATAAATGTGGTACTTGAAAAACATTTCTCAACTATCTTTACTTCATTGAAAAAAAGAACATTTGTAAGCTATGGCTGAGAGCAGAGAATTAACATCTATAATTCCCTAGGCTTGGTTATCACTGATCCATCCTATCAATGTTTTTGTGACACTTTACTCCATTCAGTTGACATCCAAAATGTTCATAGTTCTATGAAAAAATAAAGGTAGAATCATAAAAAATGTCATTACCTCTATTTCTATGGGTAGAATTATCAGGCTTTTAGACCGGTATCTTTGCTTAACTTTTTTTCTCAGGCATTTTTCTAAGCAGGGAAGTTAAGACCGTGTGTAGCAGCTGCTGATTGGTTAACAACTTCATTCAAGGCATCCAATAAGGGAGCCAGAGATTACAGGTGTTAACCAATAGTGCAAAAACTTCCCATCGAATAAGCAAAATATACTCAATATATATTCAAAACAATAGCATATTTTGTATTACGTTTTCGAGTTCAACAGCCTTACATGAAACCATTGGAAAGAAATGTTAAAATAAAATAGCACTCATGGTAAATTAACAATTCATTGTAGTCGTGACGAGATTTCAAATACACATGATAAACTAACAACATTAGAAAAATATGCTATAGAAGCTGAAAAGCTCAAATGTCTCTTGAATTTGGTCCAAACCGTCTTTTATTGTAGCCATTTTTCTGGGTTGAATGGCAGTGCAAATGTTTATTACTGTTGCTGAGGGATTCCCCAACTAACCAACCAACTAGGGTTTGTCTTTCAGGCTCACGAGACATACTGTATATCAGGGGTATTCAACTCTTAACCCTACGAGGTCCAGAGCCTGCTGGTTCACTGTTCGACCTGATAATTAAGTGCACCCACCTGGTGTCCCAGGTCGAAATTAGTCCCTGATTAGAGGGGAAGAATGAAAAAAAGCAGTGGAACTGGCATCGAGGTCCAGAGTTGAATATGAGGGCTGTATATAATGGCTTGTAGAGAAGGTAGTCAGTGGAGAAAGAAGCCACATACGTAAGGTCTTTGGAATGTGATGAAAATCAAACAACTTGAAGATACTCGATCTCGATCGTCACACCTTTCCTCACAACACCACGAATGTGTTCCCATGTCATGGTACTGTACCACCACACAGCTTCCTGTCCACTGCAGCGCCTATGTTTTCCATGTGGTAATGCACCATGACACCTTTATGCACATACATATAGGCTACATGCATCTCCCCCTGTTTAAGCTTACAGTCTCAGCCAGCAGTAGCAGGTTTCAGGGACCCAAGCAACAGCCATGGGACTCCGAGTCCCAGGATGCCCTGTGAACTCCTTCTGAAAAGTGCAGCCTGCAGGCAGTCCTCCCAGCCACTAGGGGTCCTCCTCCATGTCATCCAGGTTGGGCGCCATGATGAAGTGCTTGGGATAATGCAGGCTCCGCTCGTCGGCGTGCTCCTCCCAGCGGGCATCGTCGCTCTCATGGGTGATGTAGCGCTCCCCTCTGCGTGTCTCAAACTCCCGCAGGTCCAGCCACGTCTGATAGTCCTGGAGGAGAGAAGAGAAGTGTAGGGGGAGTGTATTGTCATTACTAAACTGCAAGAAGAAGCCAAGTAGAATTACAGTAGCTCTTTCATAGATCCTTAGATGGAGTAAGTTCTATTTTCATAGCAGAGTGAACTGTGAACACCATAGAGATGTGTTGCATTTAATGACGTGATGAATGTAGTGTGACTGAAGGTAGTCACTGTCCAGGTGTGTTACCTGAAGCCAGGGGTGACTGAGAGACTTGTCCACACTGTAGCGCTTCCTCATCTTCACCTGGAGGAGGTTGTTGATCAGGTCTGTGGCTGTGGGTATGGATGGACCAACATGGACAACGTTGACATCAGAAACGGGATATCTACACTTCCATCCAGCACAATCTCCCTCTACTCTGGCCACTCCAGACTAGTATGAAATACATGGCTACCTCTAGGTTGAGTCAATTAGGACTACAAAACTATTCTGCTATTCTCAGTCTCAAAGTTCCAAAGACAGTTCCAAAGACATTTCAAAGAGATGAGCAGTAGGCCTCTTTTTCTGAGGTGGAAGACTGAACGAGACCACACCCTGAGAGGTGAAGACCACCTGTTAAAACCACAGCGAGCCTGGGAAACATGTAGATAGATGGTCTACTGGTCGACACACTAGGAACACAGGTTGCATCCCAAATGGCACCCTATTCCCTTTATAGTGCACTACTTTTGACCAGAGCCCTATGGGCCCTATAGGATGCCATTTGGGATGGAGCCACAGGCTAGTTTTGACCGGGAGTAACCCCAGAGATATCTACTGTAAGTACACTGAGTGGGTCAACAGTTTATCCTGTAATGTGAAATGGCCAATTACATGTTGGTTATAGGGTTGTTGACTATACAAAGCGCCAGTGCATGGCTATTGTCTAGAATCTACTTATAAAGCAAGATTGCTATAGATGGAACTCAAAATAAATTATCCATAATAGCAAAATTGTAATTGTTGAAAAATTACATCGATTTTTGTTCAGAAAAAAGACTGAGTCCCAAATGGCACCCTATTACCTGCTGTACATATGGGCCTTGGTCAAAAGTAGTGCACTATATTAAAATATAGGGTGCCATTTGGGGTGCATCCACTCTCTCTTACCCTCTCCAGAGATGTCCTTCCATGGGTTTGGAGGGTACATGAAGGCAGCGT